GAAATAACAAGTAGGGCAAAGTATAGGGTCTAGTCTTAGTTCTCAAAGTAGATGTTCTTGGATTGCAGCTCCCAGAAATCCTGACCAGCACAGCTGGTGGTGAAGGCTTCTGGGAGTTGTAGTCCAAGAACATCTGGGGACCCCAGTTTGAGAACCACGGATCTAGGCCATTTTAAGCTATATTATGTAGGTTTGGCTTCTTTGCTTCAGGGCCAAATTATAAATTTGGAATCACCTATATTAGAGCTGGAATCATGTCAGTGTGCAATAAATGCAACTAAGGTAGTCTCATGTCTCAGAAATCTTACAAAGGAAGAACATCCTTAAGGCTTGAAAACTGATCACAGATCAAAGCAAGCTAATTTTCACATTACAGAACATGAGAAAATGTCCTATTATGATCAATGAACTCTTAAGGAATTTCCCCTTCTCTATCTATGACACATAATTGAGCCTTTACAATCCATGTTTTAACTATGGGGTGCTGTGAATTTTGTTCCATTCTCCTAACGTACGTTGGTTTTGATTTGTATGAAGTTATGACCCATTCATTATCTATTTTGTACTGATGGCAGCATATTGAAAAAGTCATTGCATCAACATTTTTGTTATTATTGGTGAAATAGATAATTAATTACAAGATGTATCTGTCATTACTTTGATATATTGTTTGTATTTTGCAGAATAAAAAAATAGCCACAAATACGTTTTGATATGGCCTTGTACATTTTTTTTGGTTGTTAATTGTAAGTTACCCACAGACCTTCATTAGATGAGACACACATTTATGAGATTCAGCAACCACAGAAGAACAGCAGGGAAAATGTTGTCACCTCTGGTGATGTCACTGTTATTTTTTCAAGCTCCTTCCTACCAGTGTTGACTGAAGTATTGCCTTTACCTAGCATATATGCTGCCTGATCATAGTAGACTTCACAAGGTTGCACACCCATCACCATGACCCTGTTCTGTAAACATGAAAGATGCAAAGCCTGTAGAGTGTGATTCCGGATGTTCAGCTCTCTTTTTGAATGGAATCTACAGAATACACATAGACTAAAACACTAGCCCTGTGATCAAAAATTCAAATAAATTTGATTTGAAAAAGTTTCAGCACAAATCCATAGAAAAGCTGGAAAGTGCTCATTCATCTTAAAGCTTTTAATTTTTTTTAAAAAAATTGTGGCTATTTTTAATTGGGCAAATGAGCAATGTTGGTTCTCTTCTAAAAGAAATATAATTTTAAAGCATTATAATAATGTAATTAAATTCAGTCTAGGGATTCTCAAAGCATCATTATGCATATACAGCATACAGTGTATTCAAAGTCTACAGATGATTATTCCTTTTCTTCCCAGTCACTTAAACTTACTGGATTTGTAATATACCGTAGCAGATACAATGTGTGACTGTATATATACTTCTAACAGATGATTATTCCTTTTCTTCCCAGTCAGTTAAACTTACTGGATTTGTAATATAGCGTAGCAGATACAATATGTGTACTGTATATATACTTCTAGGGAGATCTTTCTTCCTTCCTTCCTTCCTTCCTTCCTTCCTTTTACAAACATATAATTTGAGGCGTGTGTTAATATACCATGAGGATTCTGCTCATGCCTGCAGAACCGAAAGGTAAGGTAAGCAGAGGCTCAGATCTGTTGGCTTGTTTTGTGTTGGCTTCTTAGAAAGTAAATCTTTTTGGAAGAGTGGGGGTATGCAGGAGATAGCTGGAGAATACCTCCTTAGGATTCCAAATGACAGGTATGATCCAGCAGATCCAACAGCTGTGTATAAAGGGATTTGCCGCAGAGACCTGTCTCTCAACACAACCCCCTGCTGTGGTTTATGTGCCACAGTATGGATTCTAATCACTCACACAACTTGTATTGGGCAAAGAGAGAGAACTGGATGGCTATTAGGCAGGCATGTACAAAACCCCTGCCTGGCGTAACATCTAGGTTCATTGTGCAACCCCTGGACTAAGAGAAAGAGGTGTATGGCAAGTCCTGGGTTTTACTGAACCCTATGGTGACTTCGTCCCATGTGGACACTGCACACAAGGTAGGATGGATCTACCCCAACCATTGTGCATCACTCAGTGGAAGAGCTCAGCTAACACAGAAAGAGTCTTTAAACGAAGTCACTTAGTGCTTTTGTGTCAAATTCCCCTAAAGATCAAAATAACCCATATGGTGAAGCCTATATTGAACTAGTCTATCTATTTGGGGGAGGAGGGGGCAAGAACCCTCTAGCCCAGGAATGCGATAGGCCCACAGCATTCTCCATCCAGCCTGTGAGCTTCTTCTCCTATACCAATGATGGTGAACCAATGGCACATGTGGCACAGCTGGCATGCAGAACCCTTTCAGCTTGCACGCAAGCCATCAGTTGCCGGATCGCTACTCTCCCCCCCCACCTTTCAGGAGGTGGCTGCAGCTGCGGTGCTGGCACTTTGACAGGCGGCTGCCAGCAATGGGAGTGAATCCAGAGTGGGGTCTCAAGGCACCTCTGTGCCTGGGATTCCTCCTTCCGCCGCCACTTCCAGTTCCACTGCCGCCGCAGCCCACCATCCCCCCTCCCCAGTTTAGGCACTCGGGCCCAAAAAGATTCGCTGCCACTGCCCTATACTCTCTCATCAGTGACTCAAGTTATGAGGCAATTAAAGCCCAGGAAATTGTTGCAGAGATCTGAGCCACCAGGAGGTGTGGTCGTGAACTGCAAATGTAATTGAAAGAAATATTTGCATTAATGGTTTGGACTGAAGAGAGAAAAAAAGAGAGCAAAGCCTTCTATATATGTAGAAATTATATTTATTGCATTTGATTATGTTTGAGGGTCTTGACATTGAACTGCCCTTGTAGCATGGCAGCTGATAGCTATTATGAGGTTTCAACAAAGAAAATAAATTTATAAATCAATCAATTATTTTGGTGAGGTTGGTGCAGGCCATTCCACTGTGCAGACTAGTTACTCTAGCTGTTTCCTCACTCCATCACCATCAACAACAAAATAATAAGCTCCTTTGCTAATTACGTTTTACAATGAATAATTTCCAACTCAGAGACCTCAGGCACTCCGCACTTTCCGAGTTGCTGAATGGCTCTCGGTGGCTGTAAAACGCTCAATGCCAGAAGGGAAAGTTCTGTCAATTTCAACAGGTAAACTGGAAGAAACATTTTGCTTGAACTGCAGAGCTGCTCAAGAAAAACAAGCAATTTCTGGATCACGGGGTGGGCCCTCAATTCAGTTTTTTGGAAGGCAAATATATCTGCCATGAAGTAGGGCTTCATCAAAAACAGTAAATAGTAATCTCCATGCAACAGAACTGTAATCATTTCCAAACATGCAAGTGCTTTAAAAAAATTAAAAAATATAAGGTGCCTTGACAATGCTGGCAGTTTTATATTTGTAACATACAATTTGTATATATATCTATATATATATCTATATATTTATATATTTACATTGTTACTGTTAACTTTACCTTACAAGCTACAAAGTTAGGAAAATATACAGTACTTTTGCATATAATGGTAGATCCTTGTAGCCCCTGAGTCAAGTATAGAGGATTTAAATTAAAAAAAGGAAAAAATAAACCCAATCAAGCCATTAAAAGCACTTACATTTTAGGTGATGTAAGAGTACAAAAAAGGTTATTTTCCAGGAAGACCAGGATCAGAAACATGCCTATGGAGACCCAAGATACCTATAGTACTTAGGGAAGAATCAGGCAAGGACGGGTGCCGAATTGGGTGGAGGTAAGTCTTACTACGTTGTGTGGGTAGCTCTGGAGACCGGTCATGCTCTTGTTCCAAAAACGAAGCCAGGTTGTCTTCTGAAGCTGTATTCAGATGAATTCCACTGGAGAGGGATTCTTTGGATTTCCGTTTTGATTTTTCAAGGTCTAGGAATTCAGGACACTGGGAAAATGAAACACAACAGTCATATCAAAGAATACCTTACGAGCCAGTGGCTAAAAGAACGAAAAGTGGGCTTGTGGGAGAGGGTCTCCTCCATCATTAAGACAGCAAAGGAGGCTGGTCACAACATATATCTTGTTGTGAACCTGTCCAGATTCTAACATCTGCAGGAGAGGCCCTCTCGAGAGGTTGCAGAAAAGCTGCAGAGGCCTGCATCTGGCTGTCGCGTGGGAGAGGTGTTTTTTCTGCGTGAGGCCCAGATTGTGAGGTGCACTCCCCTCACAGCTGTTTCCACCCTCTTTGCTTTCAAGAAGTGTATGGGCACACATCTTTTTTTACATCACTTTATGATACTCTTCCATTTCTTGTGGTGATTTTGGCTGTCAACATTCTGATTTTAATGGCTGTGTTTCGTTTTGTTTGATTTTATCGTTTGTACAGTGAAAATTGATTTTTACTTATTTCTATTATGTTTTATGGGGGCTGGAAGTTGCTTTGAGCATCACCTAATAGTGGAAAGGCAGGGTAGAAATGTGATTGCTAACAACAACAACAATGTTGATGATGTAGCTGTTTGCTACTTCCATGGGTTGCATGTTTTGGAACACTGTTTGCTGGGGAATGACAGCAGGAGACGGTTCTTGTGCTCATGCCCTGCTTGTAGCTTCCAGGAGGCAACTGGACTGGCTACTGTGAGAAAGAGGCCGATGGACCAGGAAGGTGCCCAGCTGAATCTAGCCCAGCTCTTTCTCCATTTGTATGTAGGTTCTGCTGGTGACATGTCCTGCTGCCAATAAGCAGGGGAAGCAAGTACTGGTTGTTGTAGGTGTTGTAGGAAGCAAGTATTATCTGTATTCCTGTCCATGCATGATACCTGTGAAGGACTGAAGCTCCTGTCCGTTTTAATAGACGCTGTGGGATGACGGTTTTGCACTTTCCGGACAGCTGGCCTCTGGTAATCCGTATCTGCGGTCACCACACTATAGGCAGGTGGGATGAGCGCTGATTGTCTCTGCAGGAGCTGCAGGATGGTTTGAATGTCAGCAGTCATTTGGGATTCAAGCCTGGAACAGTAAGAAGAATTCAACACTGTATGTTGACATGAACGACACCGTTTGACAAGACAAAGTAAGTCATAATGTGCAAATAGTATTACAGTGGTGCCCTGCATTACAATGAACCCACAGAACGACGAAATCGCATGACGATGACTTTTTTGCGATTGCTATAGTGATCGCAAACAATGTTTGCTATGGGTTTTTTTTGCTGGACGTTGATTAGGTCCTTGCTTCGTGAACTGTTTGTTTGCAAAATGATGATTTTTATGGCTCCGCAAAATGGCTGCCCTGTCTTTTCTGGACCCATGCTTCGCAGGGCAGCCATTTTAACAGCTGATCGGCACTCGGAAAATGGCTTCCCCTATGGGCGATCTTCACTGGACGACGAGGTAATTTCCCCATTGGAACGCATTCAATGGGTTTCAATGCATTCCAATGGGGAATTCTTTTTCGCATGACGACAATTTCGCTTAACAGTGATTTTCCTGGAACGGATTATTGTCATCATGCGGGGCGCCACTGTACTTAATAGTGTTGTAAAGGAGAATAAAGAGGATTCTCTACAATGCCGACAATGTTTGCCTGGAGAGGTAAAGCAGGATGTTGGCTAACTCGAGGTTCAGATGAACAGTCTGTTTGCTCATGCATGCAACTTCTTTGCTCCTGGCAAAGAAAGGCCACACAAATTAGGAATAGTCTGTTTATTGTCTTGTTGCATGTTGGGTCCTGGAGCATCCCTATCTTTTGAGTTGGCTTATGGAGTGTTGTAAACTGTTCCTGCTCAATATCTATTATTGTGCAGCAATCATTTATGTCAGCTTATGAAGCCACCTAAAGCTGAGCCATACAACTGATCCATTTACCTCAGCTATCTTTGAATGTTAACCACTCTCTGGCTAAGACCCTTCTAGGCCTGGCTACCTGAGATAGGTTAACGAAGGAAACCAGGGAATGAACATGGAACCTTCCATAAATCACATGCTGTGCCCTGAGCTATGGAATCACTCCCATAAATACTGTAGGTTTCCAGCTTGTGCACAGAGTTGAAGTAGAGTGATGGTAATTCTTAGCAATTGCACAGCTGCTTTTAAGAGTTGAGCAATTTCAGACACATTATCTTTGAACTCTTTTAAAGGCCTTGATTTAGGTCAGGATAATTAGCTTCAAATTGCTGATGGAGCTCTATGATTGAAAGAGAGAGAGAGCGAGATTGATTTTTCCAAAGCCACCTAAGAAGTTCCAGGTAGAGGCAAGAGTTGAAACACTGATCTTCTGATTTACAGTTTCACTTCTCACCAAGCAGTGGAGAGGTCAGATCGGATCAAGAAGTGGATCTTTATGAAAAGCTCCACAATGCCAGCTAATTAATCAATAGACACACCCTTTACAAGGCTGCCAGGTTCTACTTGGCAGAGCCAAAACCTAAGACCAAGGAGTGAGGTGGTCCCTTGTAATGTCAGAGGTAGGGCAGGGAGCAATTGGGAAGAGGGCTGGAATGGCTTCTTGGCCACTTGCTTGCTGGAAAAGGTAAAAGAGGAATCTAGGTAAAGGGGCCTGCAATCTGGGTAAAAATAGCTAATAATGCTTAGCTGGGCATTCTGACAATCCACAGCCATGTATGTGATGAGTGAATGAGGGGACATTTTCCGGCAGCCTGGCAAACAGAAAAATGTGCCCCACAGCTACAGATTTGCCCCAGCTGCTGCTTGATCTTGTGTCCTGGATTATCTGACTTTCAATGCATAGACACATCATCAAGAATGTTTCCAGGCTATTCTGTTGCTGGCCAATGAAACAGACATACAAGTACAATTGTACTGAGCCACCGAGAAGTCGCACCAGATGGGAAAAGGTAGAGATACTGCATGGGCTTGAAAGCCCCCTCAGAAAAATATATTTGTAAAAAAAAAAAGTCATCTTCTAGTGCTGTTTGCTCAGAGATTTGTCTCCTCACCTAAAAACCATGGGAAACAAAGCAAGCCTAAGCCTTCAGGGGCAGATACTTCCTTAACAATCAAGCCCAGCCAGTAAACTGTCCTCCTTTTCAAATATAGGGCCTCCAATAGTTCATGAACACATCTCCTTCCTTCCTTGGTATAACACCTCTGCATCTTCAAAATCATGGATACTGGACACGTTGTACAAATGCTTTCTATAAATGGTTTCAAATGCTCATTTGAAGTATGCTGCCTGCTTCAAAACTCAACACAAGTGGAATCAACCACCAAGAAGCTTCCATTAAAGCTCAGGCATGTGATGGGGATTTCTCAATAGAGGTGCTTGGAATAGCAACTGCTGTTTTTTCCCCCCTGCGCCTCACAGGGTTGTAAATGTTGCTGTTATTGCCCCTATTTTTGGTTTTGTTTTGTGTTATGAGTTGTAATTTATTTTAAAAAATTCTTACTACATCCTGCTGTTAACTAGAGGCGTGTGGGGTGACCGTGTTGCTTGGGGAATCCTGGGAGCGGTAGTGCAAACCCACATCTGCACACTGCTACTTTTAACTGGTTTTAACTGACTGGGAGCCACCTTGAGTGCCCTATGGGGGGAAAGGTGGCATATAAAACAAACAGAACTCATAGAAACGTACACACATAACAAGTCAGTCCTGTTATCAAACTATAGGATAATTTATGAAGATATTTGGGAAAGCAACCATTCCCACTCTCTTTCAGCTCCTCAGATGTTCGCAGAAGCAATAACATGGCTAGGGCTTATTTATTCTCCATTAAGTTAGATAAGGAGCAGGAAGTTCTCTACATATTTTGGATTCTAGCTCATGACTCTCTTAACTCTGGACCATTGGCTATAATGGCTAGGGCTTATAGCAGTTGAAGACCAAAATATTTAAGCAGTAGAGACCCTATTCTTCAGCATGTGATGGGTTTCTCAGTAGAGGCTGCAGCTACATTTGTCAGTGGCTCCCATGCTGAAACTGTTGCTTGACGTCGCCATAGATTCATCAACAAACAGGCAGCTGGAGTTCTCGGCACGTTTCCTACTACCTGCTGCCTTGCAACGTATGTCATATTGCTGTGTTTTATGTTTCCCTGGAAATTAGGCCACTGGCGTTCAGGTTTTATCGGCTCATAGATTGCAAGGGAAAGGGCTGACCCTTACATTGACTTTAAATTGCTTGTTAAAATGTGCATTCGACATGCCCAGGAGCACTCAGTGACTAATATAGACTGAATTTGTCAACTCAGGATTAAATTGCCCATTTGTCATGACAAAAGTGATGACAGTAATGGAATCCTGGGGAAGTGATATTTTTAAAGAAAGGTTATATGCCTGAACAAAAGCCAATTTCCAATTAGACACAGTTTTGCCTGCTTGCAAGTTCTTTTTGTGCCTGGGGGAAGATTCGTTCCACTTGGGTAGGGGCAGGGGTGCGGCCATGCAAGTTCCTTCAGAAACCAGGTCCAACAGGAGCTGAACAGTGGTGCCAAAGAAGGTTTCCTGTTTCATGCTCATTCGTGACATTTTTAGTATTGATAGGGGAATGGTGACATTCTCTCTCTGTTAGGTGAGGATCAGGTTTTATTGGCTGAAAGCTTGGATTCAAATCCAGTGTTTAGGAACCTGATGAATCTGTCAACAGATGATGAATCAATCATGCCAGATTATAAAGAATTTAGATTACATCTGTCACATGAGGAGATCTTGGCTCCCTTCTGCCTATGCCCTCCAGATTTGCTCCAGCTCACCCCTGATCTCTGGAACAGAAGGGGGGGATACGCGCAGGGAGTTTTGGAGGAATCCAATCTGCCACCAGTATTCTTTTCATTGGCAGAGAAGAGATGAATAACAGACACAGCCATTTGAATCTGTAGGATACTGTTTGGCTTTGTCTCCTGTAATATTTCTTGGGGTGTTTTTAATGCAGAATTATAGTAGCCGCCTAGAGTGGCCCGGTGGGCCAGACAGGCGGGGTGTAAATCAAATAAATAAATAAATAAATAAATAAAATAAATACTCAGGTTGGCAGCGAGATGGCTAAATGCATGAAGAACTGCGAACAGCAGAGTTGGATGAAACCTGTTTTATTCTCTATATGGGTAATTTTTTTTAGTTTAATGGTAGTTTTGTTTTTAAGATGACTATCATGTGGCAGCAAAGAAGGCTTGGGAGTCTTTTGCTATTAAGACACAATTAACTACATTAATTGACTACAGTTAACTACTCTGCTAACTTTACCACCAATTGTAGCCACCAGTATTTTTTTCGAATCAGCTTAGGAAACATTCTGAAATTTCTAAAATAAGGAACAAATAATAATTAGTAATCCTAGTAATATATTGTAAATAAGGCAGTTCATAATAACTGGAACATTACTTCAGCACCTTCCCTAGGCAATGGACTAAATCTGCAAAGTTGGTACCACTTGGATTAAACCCACTGAAATAAAGGGCGTTTACATTAGTTGTGACGTAGAAGGCCTGTTCATTTCAATGGCCTGTACTCTATGTAGGAATAATAAGAGATTTATCCCAATGAAGCTGCAGACCTATTAATTTGCTGACCTATCATTCTAATAGTGTGACCGCAGTGTATTGGGTTATGAAATTCAGAGTGATTATTCACGAACTGATGATGAACTCCCAGAAATCCAGAGGTGGTGGTGAAGGCTTCTGGGAGTTGTAGTCCAAGAACATCTGGAGGCCCATGGCTGGGGACCACTGCCTTAAAGGACCAGCTGAGAAACTGCTGGTCCTTTAATTGCAGTTTCTTGACCAGCCCTTCAGACAAGGAAAATAACTTTAAAACATAAATTTTATAAGTGATGCAGTGCATCAGCAATGGTCTACTATAGATGGAAAAAAATTACTTCCCCTGCCCCTCTGCGGTGGAGCAGCGGAAGTGTTCGGTTTGCCAACATCCTGAAGTAGCCACTTCACAATATAGGAAATTCAAACCAGAAGGAGCCTTGACAGTCAGGATGTTCACTTTTGGTCTGTTCCCAGTGATCTTATGCACTGGAAATGGAACAAACCAGAGCGATCCTA